GTGAGTATTTGTTTTTTCGTTGTTTATTTGTTTGTTTTTTACTATTTTTACATCAATGCCTATGTCTCTATCTGTCTATCAGTGTCTGTCTATCTTTCTATTTATCTGTCTTTGTATTTCTGTCTATATGTCCAACTACCTATGTCCAGCTATCTTTATGTTTTAACTGTCTATCTGTCTATCTAACTGTCTCTCTCTCTCTCTCTCTCTCTCTCTCTCTCTCTCTCTCTCTCTCTCTCTCTCTCTCTCTCTCTCTCTCTCTCTCTCTCTCTCTCTCTCTCTCTCTCTCTCTCTCTCCCTTTCCTTTCCTCCTCTATCCCTTACTCCCTCCCCTTCCCTTTCCCTCACCCTCTCACTCGCCCCCCCTTTCACTCTTCCACACCTTCCCTCTCCCTCTCCCTCCCTCACCCTCCCTCTCCCTCCCTCTCCCTCCCTCACCCTCCCTCTCCCTCTCCCTCTCCCTCACCCTCCCTCTCCCTCCCTCACCCTCCCTCTCCCTCCCTCTCCCTCTCCCTCACCCTCCCTCTCCCTCCCTCACCCTCCCTCTCCCTCTCCCTCTCCCTCACCCTCCCTCTCCCTCCCTCCCCCTCCCTCCCCCTCCCTCCCCCTCCCTCCCCCTCCCTCACCCCAATACCTAAAACGCAAAAGTTGCACAATAGAAAAAAAAAGAATAGCGACGTATTGCAATCCAATAATTGCAACGGAAGCATGGACGAAATAGCTTCGACGACGAGAATAACTAGCAACAGGGCAGTAAAATTAAGGTAGAGCCGTATTATTATTATTATTGACAGAAGCAACAGCAACTGCAACAACAGCAAGTGGAAGTGCAGTGACACAACAGCGGGAGTCACGGCGTACAATGACAACAATGACAGTAATGACAACAACAGTGACTCTTGCAATTATTGGATTCGTGAATGGGGAAAGGATGGGAGGGTGGGAGGGAGGGAGGGAGGGAAGGAGGGTGGGAAGGAAGGAGGGAGGGAAGGAAGGAGAAAGGGAGGGGAGGAGGGAGGGAGGGAAGGAGGGAGGGGGGGGAAGGGAAGGTGGGAAGAAGGGAGGGAGGGAAGGAAGGAGGTAGGGTGGGAACGAGGGAGGGGGAGGGAGGGAAGTTTTGGGAGGGAAGGAGGAAGGGAGGGATTGGGAAGAAGGGAGGGATTAGGAGAGATGGCGGGAGGGAACGAGGGGGTAGGGGGGGAAGAAGGGAGATAGGTAGGTAGGTTCTTAGATGGAGAGAGGGAAGAAGGGAGGGAGGGAAGGGGAGGGGGAGGAAGAGGAAGGAAGAAAATGGAAAAAAGGGGGAAGAAAGATGAAGAAAGAAGAGAGAAAAGAAGATAAATAAAAGAGAGAGAGAGAGAGAGAGAGAGAGAGAGAGAGAGAGAGAGAGAGAGAGAGAGAGAGAGAGAGAGAGAGAGAGAGAGAGAGAGAGAGAGAGAGAGAGAGATAGAGAGATAAAGAAAGAAAGAGAAAAAGAGATAAAGAGAGAGAGAAAAAGAGATAAAGAGAGAGAGAGATAAAGAGAGAGAAGTGGGGGAAAGGGAGAGAGATATAACAACAACAAAAAATAAAAGAAACATAGGAACAAACGAGACTAAAATAGGAAAATGGAGCACGAAGAGAGAAGAACAAGGGTAAAACCAAAGACGAAAAAAGCCATTGGACATGTGCTGGCAGATCCCCCCCCCCCCCCCGCTCCAATCCCCACCCTTTGAGAGGACGAAGAATCAGCTGTTTCTTAGAAGGTCCAGCGGAGGTCGTTGACGTCACGAATGAACGAGATTTGTTTACCGTCTTTCGAAAGGAAATTCTCTCTCTTCAGTGAACAGAATTTTTAAAGACCACATTACCCAACCGTGTTCTTTTATTGAGTCAAGATGTGTATCTGAATACATAAATGGTTCCTGCTGCGTATCTTCTTTTTTTCCCCGAGTCTCCTTCTCCTTCATCTCCTTCTCCCCCCCCCCCCCCCGCCTCCTCTTCTCCCCGCCTACGTCTTATCCTCCCCGGGGTGATTAACAGGTCTCACGTGGTTTTATTGGCCCCGGCGGCAGGACAGCGTTCGAACCAATTAACGGTCCTAACTACATACTAGCTACAGGTGTTCCGTCTCTCCCTTGTTCACTCTCACTCGTGCACTTACCAAGCTTGTTGTTCGGGACAGAATGTTTGTCCTTTGGTATATTTTGTGTAGTTAGTATAGGATTAGTTTCTTTGTTTAATAATGGCCGTTTTGTTCCAAACATTTCTCGAAAAACTATTTCTGTGACTTCCGTTCGATTTTGTAGTTGGGGATAGAAGTGATATAGTTGTTTTTAGCGTCCTGAGGTCACGGTGATTGATGGTCCTGCGAGTAAAGATGGCAGGTTACGGATGCCGCAACTGAGATTGTAGCCTCGGGAGGTCAGGCTATCTTCTCAGTCAATCAGGTTGAGTCATGCACGTCAATTAAGTCAAGTGAAGAGGCCGGGTTCGAGAAGGACGAGCCAGCGAGCACCGG